TCGTCGCCCAGACCATCCATCCCTGGTCCTGTAGGATGATGCTTCATTGCCATACAAAAAATTTCATAGATACAATCTTCTAGTGATAAACTACATCAAAAATCATCTGCTAATAGGCCGATTATACTTCCAGAAAAATTTAGACACTAAGGTTGGAAAATTGTCCTAAGAACTAGAAACATAAACATACCCAGGAATCCGGAAATCCGATGGGGGAAATGCGGAAATACCTTTATACTTGGCTATGAAAGGTAGACAAAAATCAATTTTTTACAATGCTGTTTTTTTAAAAATATAAATCGAAATGACAAATGACAGTGGAGGGTATTAAAAAATATAGTCTACAACTTAAGAATACCCCACCCTTAATGACACACTTAAGAAGAACCTACATATTTGTCATTTCAAATTTCTACCAGTTTCAACCGGCTGTATTACCCAAATACATCGAATCGAAATTTAATAGCGAACGAAAGAAAGACTAAAACTCAAACCAAAGCATATCAAATGTAATTCGAGAATTCCATTTGTAATTCACAAGACATAATTTGCAATTCGAGAATTCCATTTTCAATTCATAACATATCAGTTTTAATTCGAGGTCTTCATTTGTAAGTCATACAATACCATTCGAAATTCGTAAAATTAATATATTTCCATTTAAATCTGAACCGATTTCGAGGAAACTTGCCCGAGATTAATTTATATTAATTTCAGTACGTTTTGCCAATCGACCTAGCTAGTACAACATTAACTTAAAATCGGACGAAAGTAAATATAGGAACTATATGTAAATCTGAACCAATTTCAATAAAACTTGACTCACGAAAGGTTATAGTAACTTCAATACATTGTCCAAAATTGCGTGCGGATCGACCAATCTTTGGTTCTTTAGTGTCCCATTTACCTTAAATGGGACGAAAATATATATGGGAGCTATATCTAAATCTGGACCGATTTTCCCGAAATTTACCACACATCATTCTAGACTTAATTCAGTACGCTGTGCCAAATTGCATGCAAATCGAAAGGTAGATAGGGACTTTGGTGCACCATTTACATAAAATCGGACAAAACTATATATGAGAGCTATATCTAAATCTGAATCGATTTTCACGCAACTTAGCACACATCATTCTTGACATAATTCAGTACTCTATGCCAAATTTAGTGCAAATCGAAATATATATAGGGACTTTGGTGCCCCATTTACCTTAAATCAGACGAAAATATATATAGGAGCTATATCTAAATCTGAACCGATTTTTCCCAATTTCAATAGGGTTCGTCCTTGGGCCAAATAAGTGACTTGTGCCAAATTTCATCCAAATCGGATCATAAATGCGACCTGTACTTTGTTTACAATTTAACATCTACAGATGGACTGACGGACGGACATGCATAAGTCGACTCAGAAAGTGATTCTATGCATAAATCCTCATAAAGTATGTTAACCCAGTAAAAAGTTCTAATGTAAATGTCAGTTAATTAGGTTGGGGGAAATCCATTATTTTATTTAACATGCTTTGGAATGTCCTATTTGGCCCCAAAATACACCGATTTGTTGACAATTTTAAGTTAACTTCATAATGCCTCTCTCATAGAAGTCCTGCTCTCTATTCGCAAAAATCTCTAGTAGTATGTACGCTAATAAGAAACAACTTTCTTATATCCGATAATTCCATATAAGAAAAAAACGCATATAAGAAAAAAATCTCCGGTATTTTTGGAGTTTCTTATATCCGATATCTGCTGTATAGGATCAGAACCAAATCCAACATTCAAAATTTTATGACAATTTCATAATTTCGATACAGCTAAAATTTGGGTCAAAGACGGTTATTTCTTGACCTTACAAACTCTTGGTGTCGTACCCTCACAACATACATAGGGCTTACTCTGGGTGACACATATTCTGGAGCAATCATTTTGAATTTTGTGCTCTGAGTGGGTACTTTTCAGCATTAGTCCAAGCTTACGCCTGACATATTGAAAATCTAATTTATAATATAAAAAAAAACAAATTATTATAGGCTATTGAACCAATATATCGGTACAGCCCGATTTGATATAACTTTTTTCTCGTGATATAACTTCAAATGTTTTAAGAATCTGATAAACGTATACATACATATATTTTTAAAAAATTTCAAAATGTCAACATTTAGCCGGCAATATTTTTTTCTTTGAATTTCTTTGAAATAATTAAACCTGATAAAAAAGTCCTTATATCAAATTTTTTATTTCTATTGACTATTAATTTATTTTTTATTTGCAATGTTTTATTCTTCTCTGTTGTTTCAAATTTATGCGTTATGCAAAGTTTATTTGTTCAAGGTTCACTCTTTTTATTTCGAATTTGTCACCTTTCGCAATGCTCTTAAGTACTTTTGTTTTAAGTACAAAAATAGATTTGCCACTTCGAGTTTATGCGTTGCACTGCATTTTCAGAATTTTTTTCTGTATTTTTCTAAGAATCCTTTTTATTTGTAATTTTGTATTTGATTTTACTCACATTTTAATTTAATTTTATTAATTTTTTGTATTAATTTGGATAATTTTTAAAATTTGTATTTATTTAAAATTTATATTCCAAATTTGATATCTTTTTTCCTCACTTGCTATGTCTAAGTCTACACAGGCTATAGATTCAAAGCCAAAAATATATATTTTTTTCTATTTCACTTTATTTTCCACCAATTCAAACTTTCCGCGTTTCAACTGCAAATGCTACCGTTCGCCTTGAGAGCACTTTCGAAATTGCCACAGGCTGCTAGCCGATGCTCATCAGCCGATATTCAAAAGAAAAACCAACGATTTTTCTTCTTAGAATTTTTCCATTCGGCTCTTCTCTGCTCTCATTTTTCGAAAACGCAGCAATTTTCAAATTTTGTTTTCCTTTTTTTTATTATTCCGCTCTGTCTCTCGCTCACAAATTTTTGATGATTAGGATTTTTAAAAATAGCCACAATATTTTGCCGGCATATGAACATCCGTGGACATGGCACATTACAAGCGTTTGGATCTGTAATTTCCTGATCTGCAGAGAGTAAAAAAATCTGCCCTAAAGAGGAGCGTGAGAATAGATTGTTTTACTTTAAATGTTCTCTCCCACTTTTAGGTTAGGGACTTCTGTATAGATTTTTTTTTTTGAAGTTTTGTAGTCGCACGCGTGGGATTTTACAGTGGGGGAAATTCGGAATTTCGATATGATTAAGAACAATGGAAATTGTCAATGAGGTGGTTTTTTGCGTATAGGAAAAAATTACCGAACCCCCCATTTGTGTGAGGTGGGTTTTCCGTATAGGAAAAAAGGGGGTTCTTTTTTGGGTGAGGTGGTTTTTTCCGTATAGGAAAAACATTGCCAAACCCCCTTTTGGGTGAGGTTGGTGTTTCCGTATAGGAAAAACATTGCCAAACCACCTTTTGGGTGAGGTTGGTTTTTCCGTATAGGAAAAACATTGCCGAACCCCCTTTTGGGTGATTTGGTTTTTTCCGTATAGAAATAAATTGCCGAACCGTTTTTTCCGTATAGGAAAAACATTGCCAAACCCCCTTTTGGGTGAGGTTGGTTTTTCCGTATAGGAAAAACATTGCCGAACCCCCTTTTGGGTGATTTGGTTTTTTCCGTATAGGAAAAACATTGCCGAACCCCCTTTTGGGTGATTTGTTTTTTTCCGTATAGAAATAAATTGCCGATCCCTAGGTGAGGTGGTTTTTTCGTATAGAAATAATTTCCGAATCCTAGGTGAGGTGGTTTTTTCGTATAGAAAAAATTTCCGAACCCTAGGTGAGGTGGTTTTTTCGTATAGAAAAAATTTCCGAACCCTAGGTGAGGTGGTTTTTTCGTATAGAAAAAATTTCCGAACCCTAGGTGAGCTGTTTTTTTCGTATAGAAAAAATTTCCGAACCCTAGGTGAGGTGGTTTTTTCGTATAGAAATAATTTCCGAATCCTAGGTGAGGTGGTTTTTTCGTATAGAAAAAATTTCCGAACCCTAGGTGAGGTGGTTTTTTCGTATAGGTGAGGTGGTTTTTTTCGTATAGAAAAATTTCCGAATCCTAGGTGAGGTGGTTTTTTCGTATAGAAAAAAAATTCCGAACCCTAGGTGAGGTGGTTTTTTCGTATAGTAAAAATTTCCGAACCCTAGGTGAGGTGGTTTTTTCGTATAGAAAAATTTACCGAACCCTAGGTGAGGGGGTTTTTTCCGCATAGAAAAATTTACAGAACCCTATGTGAGCCTCCGAAATTTAGAAAAAATCTCCAAGCTTCGACTAAGTATACATTTTTTATAGAAAATATTTTGAGCTTCGTTGTGGTCCTTTTTCGTGTAGAACAAATTGCTGTGCCCGGTTTTTGTATTGAAAAAATCCGAAGCTCAATAAATTTTATAAAATATACAAAAAGTCTCTTCTTCTCCATATTTTTTAATTAAAAAATCTTCCAACTTTAAGAATGGAAGAATGACTTTTTGTGACTTTAAAGCCATTCTCGACACAATTTGACCTATGATAAGAAATATCCTATTAATAATACAGGACATTAACAGGAACACCAACTCAACATACATTGTGTTATGCTGCTAGGAGGGGGGCAAGATTATTGGCTATGTGTGTGCGCTGCAAATCCAGTCGACGGAGAAATGCGAAAACGTGTGGAAAAAAACACAAAAATCAATTACCACCAACCAAAATGACCACCAAAACACTTTAAACGCACGGCGGGAGATTGACCGCAGCATCAAGGCGATTTTGGACAAACCATTTATACAGCTGTGCTGTGGGAAAAGGTCAGTGCGTTTAGCAGAGTAGCAGCAGCAGGAAAGGACCTGCAAGCGATTTCTTGAAACAATAAGATGCAGTGATTTTTTGAAATTACACTTAAACGACGTTCGGACGTTGTTGTGAACGGTGGTTCGGTCTTATCGCTGGATATTTGGAAACCAGAATTGAAAAAAAAAATACTGTTGAGCCTGAATTTTTGGAAAAAACGAAGTTTACAATGTCATTAAATGCAGTTTTATTTGTGGGCCTTTTAACCCTGCATCTGTGGTTCGATGTCTCTCAGGCTGAGGTGAATGCCAACAATGTAAGCTCAGGTTCCGTGAAACCTAATATTTTTTAGTAAAAACTTAAAATATTTCTCCTTAATTCCCGCAGCACAAGCTGAGCGGTATCATCCAATGGAAATATGAGAAACGACCATTCTGCAATGCTTTTACGGGTAAGTTCCCCACAATGACCCTCAAAAATCGTTTTTGTTTTTCTTTCTCCCTCTTCCAATTTTCGTTTTAGGTTGTGGCAAAAAACGCACCTCCTCCCATCCACCCTCGTATCCGGTTATCAAACGCAACGATATCGAAGATAAAATTACCTACAGCAATGATTACATGTCCGAGGGCCTATCCGATTTAATCGACATAAATGCCGAACCGGCTGTGGAAAATGTCCAAAAACAAATCATGTCTCAGGCCAAAATCTATGAGGCCATTAAGGAGGCCAGCAAAGAGATATTCCGTCAGAAAAATCGCCAACGTCAGCAGCAGCAAATGCAAGAGGCTAACCGTTTAATGGGCCAGGATTCGGAAAAATTGGATGATAACGAAAACCTTTAGGATTTCGGTTAACTAAATTCGAATGGTGATTAGACGCAAATAAAAACAAATTATTTTTCGATTAGCTGAGGTACGAGACACACATGGATTTATTTTCGCAAAAAAAAAAAATAACCTAAAAAAAACTTCCCCAAAAAATTGATGAGACAGAGTTGTGTATTTAATTCCGATAATGAAAATAAGCCTGTAAATTATTTATTATGAAATTATTGTAAAATAAATTACCAATTGCAAAGTTTGATAAACTTGTTCTAAATGGTATCGTATTAAAAATTTTCAGTAGGAAATAATTTTACAGATTCGATAAAAAACAAATAGAGAGAAAATATATCGATAAAAACTGATTTACAGATGATATATATATATATATATATATACTTTGTAAAGAACTGTTTCGTTAACAACTCTTCTATAGGGAAATGTTATCATGAACAATATTTTATAGAGAATTGTTATCGATAACATCTTTCGTGTAGAGAAAATTTATCGATAATAACTTTCGTGTAGAGAAAAGTTATCGACAACAACTTTTTTGTAGAGAAAATTATCGATAACAATTTTTTTGTAGATAAAACATGCCGATAACAACTTTTTATAGAGAACATTTATCGATAACAACTCCTCTCTATAGAAGAGAGTTCTCAACAACAACATTTCCCACAAGAGAAATGTTGTTGTTGTTGCCGTTTACGGCGTATCATCATTTTCACATAGGTCAACGAATTGTAATATCCCGAAAACGAAGACCAGTTCACACCTTTGCCAAAGCTCTTGTCGCCATAATGACCATTTAAATTGCTGCAAAAAAAAATCGAATTTCAATAAAAATATTTGAATTATCGAAAACATTCCCACTAACCTTAAATGACACTGGCGATACCACCATGCGCCCTTATAAGAAACTGCACAATTTTTCTCCTCATATAAATCATTGTCCTCATCTTTGGTAGTGAATTCCATACCGACGTGAGATCTCAGCGAATCCCCCGCTGTGCCCGTATACTGCCCCGTTCGTATTAGTTTATAATTATCTTCTTCATTGGCAATTTTGAAGCTAGCATATTTGGCATAACCCTTAGCTTCGTTGGTACCATTTACCATGAGTATCAACAGCTCCTGGGGCCCTTGATAATTGGTCAGGGCAAACAGCTTATCCAGGCCTATGAAGAACTCTCCATCCACCTCGCCAAAACCCATCTTATATTCGTTCCATGACCGATAGAAATCACACGAACCATCCTCACGTCTTTGAATAACAGTCCAGTCGCCGCCCTCGGTATGGGCATCACATTCGACGAGGAAACTTTCGTTACTGAACTTCGGGATATAAATATAATAGTAGCCACTGCGTTGGGTGCAGGCCGTTATTTCAGCACAACTAGAATACGGACCTTGGGCGTGTCTGAAGGAAAAAAATTATATATATAAGAAAGTCTGAAACTTATTATAGACAATTGGTTTGTTCCTGTGCTGAAAGAATCTCCGAGTTTGTACTATTTTTTTCGATATCATAAAGGCAAAAAGTGATCCTGAAATAATCGTAATTATTATAGATTTCTCGTTTGTAAATTAGTAAAGTTTCAGAGACTTTTAAGTATAGGAACAAACCAAAAATTTTGTCAATAAAACCATTTTTATCGGTTATCGGTTCTTCACAAAAAGAAAATTATATCGATAGCAAAATATATTATGGATATTTTAATTGATAACTTTTCTGTATAGAAACGTTATTATCGACAAGTTTTCTCTATAAAGTTGATGTTATTGAAAACCTTTTTCTAGGTAGCAGTTGTTATCGGCAACTTTTCTCAATAAAAATTATGTTAACGATAACTTTTTTCAGTAGAAATATATTATCGATAACTTTTCTCAGTAGAAAATTCGTTATTGATAATTTTTCTCCGTATGTAACAAGTTATCGATCTTGTTAGAGAAATTGTGATCGAAAACTTTTCTCCAGAGAAATGTTGTTATCGGTAACATTTCCCAATAGAAAAGTTGTTATCGACCATATTTTTCATAAAAATAATTTTTACTAACCACTTTTCTCTATAGAAAATTTGTAATGGACAATTTATCTCATTGGAAAATTTGCTATCGACAACTTATCGCAATAGAAACATTGATAAGTTACTATCGATGACATTTCCCTATAGAAAAGATGTAATCGATAAATATTTACTGTAAAAGAGCTGTTATCGATAACTTTTGTCTTTCGTATCTATAACTTTTCATCTAGGGAAAAGTTGTTATCGATAACACAATGTAGAAGTACACAAACTGTAAAGTGGGAAAAACATACGGGGATTCAGGTCAGATATGGCCTGTTTTGGGCGCCGTTCCACTTTATTCATTTACTTACCACTCACCGGACAAATCATCAACACGAATATCAAACATTGGTAAATCTACGGAAATATATCAAATGATTATTATCTATTATTATTTTTACACCTTACATACCTTTCGTATTTTTTCTAGTGGGAAACAATTAAATTAAAATCCAGTTAATTTTTAAATTTAAATTCAGAATTAATTTAAAAAAATAATAATAATACCTCGACTGCATATTTTCAGTGGAATCTTTTATATCATCTACATCGTTGATATGTTTTAGTGTTTCCCCATCCGCATGTCCCTAAAAGGAATATCAGATTCTCAAATAAAATATTTAAAAAAATAAATTCGATTTTAGTCTTACATTTCCCACATTATCCTCAGAACACATTGCAATTACCGCCACAATGCAATTTATTGCAAAGAGTATTCGAAATAAACAATTTAGATTCGGCATTCTTTTTTTAAATAAGGATTTTATCACTTCGCATTGAAATAATGAACTGTCTATTTATTTACGAAATATTCGAATTTATATTGTTTCGGACTTTACTTTATCAACATGGAATGATGTTTCTTCGTACGGGTAATTAATATTCTCATTAAGGCTTTCCCAATATTGTGTGTTTTTTTGATCTCATTTATGTATTATCTGCGGTAGCATCGTTCTTTCTTATAATCTATACCACACCAAAGCAGAAACGTGGAAAGAAATGGGAGAAAGCAGGTAAGCGCCTTAATAATTGTTGTTATAGAATGTTTTAATATATATAGATAAGTTGTTATCGATAAATGTTCTCTTTAAAAAATTGTTATCGCCAATTTTCACTGTAGAAAAAAATTGTAAGTGATTATTTATACTCTTTCGAGTCGAGCTTGATGATCTAAGTTTTGCAATGAAAAGGAAAGCCAGGAGAAGAACCTACGTACCCACCATTATGCGACGCGTTTCGCCGTTGGTTAAGCGGCTCATCAGGCATATTGGCCTATGTGGCTTTACAAAGGTCGTACGTTGATAACTTGTATTTATTCCGCCCTGATGCGAAACTTACATATGTGAATTAAATTCAAATTTGTCAAAGTTCGACATTTGTCTTCATTCTAGGAACAGTCCTTTTCTAAGCAGATTTTTGTTGTAGCGATGGATAATTAATCCACACACCTACAATTTCTTCCATGGTATACACATGTTTTTGAGCAACCGTTTTGGGAGTGTGTTGATGGCTCAGAACGTTAAGTGGTCTGGCAACATTTGTGTTGCTCCGAGGACCTAGGTTCGAGCCCTAGCCGTGCTCAGCTGAAATTAATTTTTGTTATTTGAATTTTGCCTTGTAAGGCAGTGATCATTTCAAAGTAATTTTAAGTGATTATTTATACTCTTTCGAGTCGAGCTTGAAAAATATTATCGGTAAATTTTATTTATAGATAAGCTGTTATCGAATTTTCGTTATAGAAAAGATGTTACCGACAACTTTTGTCTAAAGAAAATATGTTATAGAAAATATGTTATCGACAACTTTTCGTTATAGAAACCATGATATCGACAACTTTTCCTTATAGAAAATTTGTTATCGACAGCTTTTCGTTACAGAAAAAAAGTTATTATCGGCAACTTCTTGTAATAGAAAAGTTGTTATTGAAAACTGTTCGTTATAGAAAATTTGTTATCGATATTTTTTCTTTATTGAAAATTTGTTATCGACAACTTGTTATTATATACATATTGTTATCGACAAATGTTCGTTATGGAAAATATGTTATCGAAAACTTTTCGTTATAAAAATGTTTTTATCGATAATTTTTCTTTATTAAAAACATTGTTATCGGCAACTTTTTGTTATAGAAAAGTCGTTGTCGACTACTTTTTGTGATACAAATGTTGTTATAAGAAGTTTTTCTACATAGAAACATTGTCATCGATAAGTTTCTTAATAAAACAGCATGGTATAATAATAGAAGGTAACAGCAAATGTACAACAATCGATACAAGAACCACATGGAAATTTGTTGTTGTAAGTTCCAAACTTTAGTAGTAGGCAACGAGACAGTTGCAGATTTCAAATGCGAAACAACGCAGCAACAATTTGTGGACAAAACTGGCCGATTTTCAAATGGATTATATTTTTTTATATAAAATGTGAAACTAACTATGTGTGCATATTTACAGGTGATAATCCTAACCGATGGCCTCAGCCAATTTGGTGTTGATAACCACCTTGTCCAAGCAATTTCAAAGAAGCGGCTACTTTTATTGGAGTTGGAATTGCTGTAGATCTACGAGGTCGTTTTTAATAATTAAAACATCTTTATTGAGACGAAAATTTTGTATAAATCTATAAAAAATAAATATTTGAAAACGTTTGTCACATTATTCGTACTTCTATTATCATACTAGTGGTCACTTTGGGAGAATATATTTGATCGATCTCTTATTTTTTTTTTAATTCGTTCCTCATTCTCATTCTAACCATAACGCCACCGAATCCATAATTATTTTTTTAAAGCACTCGTACCGCACAAAAATATGTTTTTATTTACAATTTATAGACGTTTCCTTTTGCCATTCTTCGTTTTTTGTTTACTTTGCGGTGACGGTGTTGCCTTATTTTCGATTTAGTTTGCATTTGCGTTAGTGACACAGTGTACCAAATTGGTGACACAGTGTACCTAGTTACCACCCAAGCATAATCCATTTGTTCCCAAGGGGATAACAAATTTGTACAGGGCGATTCCAGCGCTCACAACTTCCCTACGATCCATGCGGTATCCTTATTACGGACTAGATAGACGAATCTGATTTTCCATCAACGAATAAATCTCTCGATTAATTGCTAGATGCTCAAGTTTTTCTCTCCTTCCCTATTCGTCTTGGCAAATCATGGTCATTTTGACCATATTTCTATCCTTACCACCGTATAAAGATCCAGCGATTTCGTCGGCGTTGGGCGTATAATTATGAAGCCAACTGGTGCGGCTTCACAAAATTCATTAATGATTCTCCTTAAGTTCTTTGCCGCCACCAAAAAGGCCTAGAAAAAAATTTCGTGAAATTTGTGTAACAAGCGATACAGGACCTCCACAGCTAACGATCGAATTCTGGAGCTAAGCACTAAAATAATCCGAAAATTCTTCAGTATAGAGGCTAGAACTGGGCAATCTTGTTTCGGAAGTGACTTGCACGATAGTGAATTCGACCAAGATATTGATGAACAATTGGATCAAATGGAAGTGGGTGAACACAAACAAAAAGGAACGATTGGACCAAAAGAAATTAAAGAACCGGACATAGTAACCATCGTTTCTTTGGCGAAATAATCCCTTTGTGTCATCTGCTCTTTCTGCTGTTTCATTCAGTGACATTCAGAATTCAAATGCGGAAAAAAATGTGGTACAGATCTAACGCCAATTCGTCGACCACCCAACTTCGCAGAACATAATCAATCGATCAGATTACCGGAGGTGCAAGATTCGGAAACGAGATTTGCAGTCCCTAAAATTTACAAGTAGAGGCAGCACGAAGGAGGACGGAAACAAAACGGAAATGGATGAACATAAGAAACGGTTCTTTCTCCTAGTACCTATCTTTCTTTTTACAGAATAGTTCCGTTAAACTACTTCGATAATACATTTTCCTAGAAAAGTATAAAAACGAGCCGATATCCGGAGTTGAAGGTATTTGAAACAAGACTTACATCCACTAAAATGCATATCGGGTGACGTAGAGGCAATTACCTCCACAGCTAAACCATTCAACAAAGTCCTTAATCCAGGTGTCACTGTTCATTTTAAAGAAGATTAGTGTAAAACGGGTGCGTTATCTGACCAATATCCAGGAATTATGTGTTTTGGAAGAAATAACATCCAACATTATGAATGACCTTAATCAGCGATGACCGTCTGAACAGATCATTGTACCAGCCTTTGATCTATTCATAGCTTTCGATACGGCCGAACATACTATGGGGGTATGCGACATCAAGAATTCTACCCTTGCGAATGATTCAATCGTTGACATACCAAAATATTGCTAAATCAAAATACGAGTCCCGCAAGGGGTGTCCTAGCTCCCATTTTGTTCATCGTGTACCTTGAGAAACCCCGCATTCCTTCTCGGGATGTTTTCGTGGTGTCGTCTTACAATGATTGTACCATAATTTCTTCAAGCGTAATCGCGAAAAATTTCAAATATTTAGCCACCATCAATAACTACTTTCGGAAATGCAGTCTTCAAGTATCCACGCCAAAGTCAATCGTGTCCTCGAAAAATTTACATTTCAGTCGAAGGTAGGAGTTACCTCAACGTCCATTAATTTTTCTAAGTGAGTGGGTGAGTAAGTGACTGACTGACAGATCATCGCCCAGATGAGACGGCTAAAGCTAGAAGCCTGAAATATTTAGTGTGGGTTGTTGTTGGTGTGTAGGCGTGAGATAAGGCTGGGTTTTTGGAAATTCGAACTAGAAGGGTACGAAAAGTACTAAAATGTACCAAATATGGTACCCTTTGTATTAGGCGAACGCGAAGAGCTAGAATTCTGAAATTTGGAATGTTGGTCACTGATGGAAAGTTAGAAAGATGTACCAAAGGGTTTTTGGAAATTCGACCTAAAAGTGTACGAAAAGTACTAAACTTTACTAAATTTAGTTCTAATTGTATATGTATTGAACATATATAGCTAGAATCTTGAAATTTTATATAGAATACAGGTTGGGAAGTAATGTTGATGTATGGAAGTGGTTTAAGAAATTCGTATATATGTGTATAAAAAGTACAAAATGGTACTAAATTTGGTACTATTTGCATTTAGTTAAGTGTATAGTGATGGAATGCTGAAAATAGGAATTCGGATTACTATTGGAGTACATGATTGAGATAGCATTAAAAAATCGTACTTATGTGTACGAAAAGTACTAAATGGTACTAAATTTTGTGCAAGTTGGATTTAGGTGAACGGAAAGAGCTGGAGTCTTCAAATTGAGAATTAAAATGGCTGTTGGAGTGTAGGATTGAGGTAGTTTAAAAAATGTGTACTTACTGGTACGAAAAGTTCTATATGGTACTAAATTTAGTACAATTTGGATTTTGCTTGAAAGGATAGAGCTAAAAACCTGAAATTTGGAATTAAGATTACTGTTGAAGATTGAGCTATAGACACCTTTGGAAATTCGTATTTAAGTGTACGAAAAGTACTAAACGGCACTAAATTTGGTACAATTTGGATTTGGGTGAACGGAGAGGTCTAGAAACCTAAAATTTGGAATAACGGTTGCTGTTGGAATATAGAATTAAGATATGGAAGCATATTACTTATGTGTACTAAATGGTACTATATTTTGTACAACTTGATTATGTGTGAACGGATAGAGCTGGAATTTAGAATTTTGGAATTAAAATTTCAGTTGGAATGTAGGATAGACGTAGTTTGGGAAAAAGTACTAAATGGTACCAAATAGTTTACAAATTGTTTTTGTGTGAGCGGATAGGGCTGATCCTGAAATTATGAATTAAAATTACAGTGGTAGTTTTGAAATTTCGTCATTATGTGTAATAAATGGTACTAAATTTGGAATAAAAATTATTGGAATTTCGTACTTATGAATACGAGAAAAACTATATGGTACAATTCGTTTTGTGTTAGCAGAATCCAAAAAATTGGAATTAAGAAAGATTGAGATATGTCGGTAGTTTTGAAATTTTGTCATTATTTGTACTAAATGGTACTACATTTCGAATGAAAATGGGTAATTATGTGTACTAAATGGTACTAAGTTAGGTATAATTTAGATTTGAGTGAATGGATAGAGATGGAAAACTTATATTTGAAAATAAATTACTATTAGATTACAGGATTGCGATAGTGTTGGAAATTTGAACTCACAAGTATGAAAAGTACTAAATGGTACTTAATATGGTACAATTTGGATCTATATGAACGGATAGGACTGGGATCCTGAGATTTATGATTGAAATTAATGTTGGAGCGTGGAATTGAAGACGTTTTGGAAACTCGTACTTATGTCAACGAAAAGTAATAATGGTACTAAATGTGGTACAATTTGAATGTTGGTGAACGGATGGAGCTAGAATCCTTAAATATGGACTTAAAGTTATTATTGGAGTGCATGACTGAGATAGTTTAGGAAATTCGTACTTATGGGTACGAAAAGCATAAAATTTGGTACAATTTGGACTTTGGTTAATGGGTAGAACACGAATCCAGAAAGTTGCAACATAGGTTACTCTGGGAGTGAATGATTAATATAGGTTTGGAATGTGGGTACAGAATTGTACGTAATCTGGTACAATTTGGTGAATAGACAGCGCTGAAATTTTTAAATTTTGATTTACTATTACTATTTGAAAGCAGGTTTGGAATATTGAAGTAGGTTTTGAATATGGGTACGAAAAGTACAGAACGGTACTAAATCTGGTACAATTTGATTTTTAATGAAAAGACAGAGCTGAACTTTTTAATTTTGGATTTACGATTACCATTTGAAAGCAGGATTGAGGTACTTTGCAGAGTACTAAATTTGAAATAATTTGGTATTTGGTGGAATTAAGATTACTGTTAGAGTGTAGGATTGATGTAGGTTTTTTTTACTTATGAGTATGAATCCTGTGATTTGGAATTTAGATAGCTCTTGAAGTGTAGTATTGAGCTGTGGAGACAACTTTGAAAACTCCAATTTATGTGTACGAATAGTAAGTAGAATTGAAAATGCACTAAATTTGGATTTTGGTAACGGAGAAAGCTGGAAACCTAAAATTTGCAATATAGGTCACTGACGGAGAGTCAGAAGGAAGTACCAATGGGTTTTTGGTACTAAATTCAATGGTGGTGGTGGTACGGAGGTAGTCTTGATAATGTGTACATATGTGTTCGAAATGGAACTAAACGTGAAACCTGCACGTAAATATATATAATTGAAATTCTGATCTATTATAAGTCTGTGTAATGGAAATATCAAAGAGATTTCGGAAAATAGTGCTTATGTGCATGAAAATTACTAAATGGTAATAAACATGGTATCAGATGTAGGAATAGAGGTGGAATTGAAAACTGTAGTACAACAAATTATACAGTATTGACGTATTCCCTTTCCGCATACGAAGTAGCGGGCACTTTGCTAGTATATTAATATATATCTTTCCACATTATTGCTTTCATATCCTATCGATCTTTTCAGGAAACACCCTCTTCATTGAACGTTTCTGCCTAGGTGTGGTATAGATTATAAGTAAGAACGATGAAACCGCAGATAATGTAAAAAAATCCCACAAATTTCCTAATCAGAATAATAATTCCCCATGCCAAAAACCACCATTTGATGTTGATAAAGTAAAGCTTTGCCATATGAGAACCCTTGTACAAAGCAATATAAATACGAATATTTTCTCAACAAAAATCGGCAGTTTATTATTTTACAGGGAAGTGCTGCAACGAATAATTCCTTCAAATAAAAAATGCAAAACCGACATTTTTTATTTCAAATCGTCTTTGCAATAAATTGCATTGTGGCAGTAATTGCAATGCGTTGTGAGGACAGCGTGGGAAATGTGAGACTTTAATTCAATATTTTTTTAAATATTCTTTTTTTTCAAACCCTAAAATACATTTTAGGTGCATGCGGATTGGGAAACACAAAAACTTATCAAGGATGTAGATGATATTAAAAATACCATCGAAAATATGCAGTTGAGGTATTTATTAACACCACTCTAATTTTTAAGTGGAACTGAACATAATATAATTTTTTTTATTTATTGTTATTTTAGAAAAAATGCGAAAGGTATGTAAAGGGTAAATGTTATATACATATGTACACCGAATAATGATAAATAATAATCATATGATATATATATCTATGTAGATTTGGCAATGTTTGATATTCGTGTTGATACATTGCCTTATAAGTGGTAAGTAAATAGTATTAAGGGGAAAACACATATGAGGACTTCAGGCTTGACCTGTTAAGTTGGCTTATTTTATTGTAAAAGAATGAAGGGAACGGGGTCCAAAAGTTTGACTCTGATCATGATGCAATAATAAGGGGATGTATCAAAACAAAAACCTTGGTTTTTGTCTCGATTATCTCGATCCATATAATATTTCAAATGGTTGGCAACACTGCACATAGAATTCAAGTAGAAATTACCTACTTTGACAGTTAATCAAGATATCAGCTGCGCTAAATGGACTACCTATTCATTGTGCCATGACTCTGTTATTCCTTTATAAATTGGCATTTCATACAAAGCCAACTTTCGATAACAACTTTTCCCCAGAGGAAAGTTATATATATATATATATACGAATTTTTCTAAACAAAAAAGTAATCGATAACAGCTCTTACAGAAAAGATTTATAGATTACAACTTAGCTATAGGGAAAAGTTGGCCATAGTAAATTTATATGGAAAAATGGATCGAAACTAACGTTTTTTTATCAGAAAATTGGCGTTTACAATTTTTCTAATGAGATAAATTGTCGATAACAACTTTTCTATAGAGAAAAGTGGTCAATAACAATTATTTTATTGAGAAATGTGGTCGATAACAACTTTTCTATTGGCAAATGTTGTCGATAACAACATTTATCTGGAGAAATATTTTCGATAATGGCTTTTCTCTAAAGAAAAGTTGTCGATAACAGCATTTCTAATGAGATAAGTTGTCGATAACAAATTGTATAATAAGAAAAATTGCCGATATCATATTTTATAAATTTTTTATTAAGAAATGTGGTCGTTAACTACTTTCCGATTAGAAACAGTTATCGATAATAAATGTTTCTTTGAGGAATGATATCGTTAACATCATCTCTCTGTAGACAAGTTGTCGATAACAACAAAGAAAAGTTATCTATAACAATTTTTTCTAAATAGTGTTTTCTACAGTTTTCTTTATTAAAAAATGTAGTCGAGAACAATTTTTCTATAAGGATAAGTTACCAAAAACAAAATTTCCTCTTAGAAAAGTTTTCGTCGAGAGCATTTCTCTTGAGAAAAGGTGTCGATAACAACGTTTATCTGAAGAAATGTTTTCGATAACAACATTTCTAATTATATAATTTTTTAGTAACAATTTGTCGAACAAGAAAAATGATCGATAACGATTTGCCTATTGAAAAAAGTTGCCGATAACACCTTCTACATAATTTGTGTACAGATAATTTTTCGATAATAACATATCTCAACAGAAAAGTTGTCTATTAAAAAATCTCTATTAGGAAATTTTCCTAATGTCGACAACATTTTTTCTATTGAGAAATGGTGTCGATAACATGATTTCTATTGATAAATGTTAACGATAAGATATTATCTCTTGATAAAAGTTATCGATAACCCATATTTTTCTGCGAGAAACAAATATTTCTATAGAGTAAATTTTTCGATAACAACATTTTATTAGAAACAAGTGGTCTATAACATTTTTATAACGATACCAACTTTCTTTGACGGAAATTTATCGATAAAAATTGTTTTATTGAAAAAATATATTTCCGATTTTTTAATATAATTTATTATTTCTCTAGCCACACCCATGGTCCCTATTCAAGTTGTGCTGAAATAACGGCCTGCACCGAACGCAGTGGCTACTATTATGTGCGCATCCCGCAGTTCAGTAAAGAAAGTATTCTCGTCGAATGTGATGCCCATACCGAAGGCGGTGACTGGACGGTTATACAAAGGCGTGAGGATGGTTCAGGTGATTTCTATCGGACGTGGAACGATTATAAAATGGGTTTTGGCGAGCTGGATGGTGAATTTTTCATTGGCATGGATAAGCTGTTTGCCCTGACAAATTATCAAGGACCTCAGGAGCTGTTGATACTTATGGTAAATGGTACCAACGAAGCTAAGGGTTATGCCAAATACGATAGCTTCAAAATTGCCAATGAAGGGGAGAAGTACAAACTATTACAGACGGGGCAGTATACCGGTACGGCGGGTGATTCGCTGAAATCCCACATTGGTATGAAATTCACTACCAAAGATCAAGACAATGATTTACATGCGGAGGGAAATTGTGCTGTTATTTACATGGGTGCATGGTGGTATTCCAAGTGCCATTCAAGGTGAGTAGGAATATTTTCGATAATTCAAATATTGTCACTGAAATTCGATTTTTTGCAGCAATTTAAATGGTCACTATGGTGATAAGAGCTATGCCAAAGGTGTGGACTGGTATTCGTTTTCGGGACATTACAATTCGTTAACCTATGTGAAAATGATGTTACGCCGTAAACGAGGATAATGCGGCATTTACATTACTGGGTTAACCTACTTTATCAGGATTTATTTGACATATATGCAAAGGAATTGACAATTGAAACCCATTGGGTTAACGAAATCCGGTTAAATGTGAACGTACTATAAATCTGATTTGTCTACCAATTTTTCTAATAAAAAATTGTTATCGATAAGTTTTCTTAATAGACAAATTGTTATCGATAACATCTATAGAAAAATTAATATCGATAAATTTTCATAGAGATATATTTTCCCTATACATATCAATATATTTTCTCTATACATATCGATATCTTTTCTCCATACAAAAGTTTTAATCGAATATAGAAAAGTTTTTATCGATAATTTTTCTCTATGGAAATGTTATTATCAATAATTTTTGTGTATAGGAAATTTCTTATCGATAAATGTTTACTATATAAAAATTGGTTTATACAGAAACAAGTTATCGATAACTAATTTTTTTACCAACAAAATAATTGTCGGATGCGCTTCACAGATTTATTCTGTGGGGCGACATCTATTCCTCCAGGAGACGATGGTTCCTTGACTGACTTCCCCTTCTTCCTATTCCGACCACTAGTGGATCCACCCAAAGCTTTAGCTTCACCTCTGTCGTTAGGCGTGGAGTCGGGCTTTGAGACAGAGCCCTCCACACGTTGATCACCCTTATGGGTGACATTTTGCTTCGGGATACACTCAATTGCCTTTTACTGAGCATTCTTTCTCGGGTTCGGCTTCGAGCTGGGCTTCAGGTCAGAAGTCGGCTTAGCACCTTTGCCAGAGACAATGGGCTTCACCGATTCTACCACTTTTGTGCGAGTAGTAAGATTCCGGAGGGAGATCTTGTCCATCTCGAATTTACGATGGAGAGCGTGCGGATAGATTCTTTCGAACTTCCTTACGTATCTCATCTTACCCTTGATGAGGTGTACCTCCCTCTCCGAGATCAAATTTGCGTCTCGCCCCACGAATTTGCGGAGATACGAAACAGCACGTTTGTAATGCTTCACATCAGCTACTTCTCGGGCTTTCCCAACCTTTGAGCCGCTGTCCGTTGCTGGAGTCTCAACAGATTCCCGTCGTCGGAAATCACCTCCGTTGCAGATTGCCTCTGAAGTTTGTCGGCGGGTGCCGACACAGGACCTGTTGTAGTCAGACTGGTAAGATTCAGTAGCAGTTCCTCCGGAAGCGTATCCCCACATCGCTCTTCCGGTACCAGTCTGTATAACTGGTCGAAGAGTTCCTTACTTTGCTCCTCTAGACTATCGCGGATAGCGTGTAGAGTCCCGTGTAGGTCATCCCTTCCCAGAACTACAGTCCTGTCAGCCAGAGACTGATTTGCATCAGTTTTGACATGCTCATTTGCCAAAGGAATAGCCGGTTCGTCAACGTTTTGGTTTTGGATTGATGCACTTGTAACAGATACATCTGCAGGTGCCAAGGCATCCACACCTAGAACAGCCGGATCACAACCGCTTGATCTCGACGACACGTGGCTTGTGACCTCACCAACGATTGCCGCCGGTAGTGGGTTATTAACTCCCTGCACCGTAACTTTATTCTGTTTACTTCTTTTACCCATCGTAGTTGATTTATTTAAGGGCACTACCCCGATCCATTTTGATCCACAGGGGATCCGAAGATCCCCAAGGTTTCCACGATGTGCAGAGAAAAGTTGATCTAGGAGACCTAGATCAGTTTCATTCTGCACATCATGGAGACCTCCTTCCCATCCGCCACCCGGAAAGACGGGCCTAGTAGGAGATTGGCAACTCCCCTAGGAATATAGATAACTTTCACCTATACAAATTGTTATCGTTAAGTTTTCTCTATAGAATCGGGCGATTTTCTCAATAGAAAATCGGCAACTCTGTAGAAAAGAATGTATCTATAACTTGTCTCCACAGAAAAATTATTATAGACAACTTTTCTTTATAGAAAATTTGTTGTCGATAACTTTTCTCTAGATAAATTGGTTATTTAAATTTTATCTTTGTAGAAAAGTCATTATCGATAACTTTTCTCTATAGAAAGTTATTAACGATAATTTTTCCCTCTAGAAATTATGTCTTCGACAATTTCTCTTTACAGAAAAGTTGTTATTGATAAATTTTCCGTTTAGAAAAATAGTTACCGATGGAAAGAGACATTTGCTCTTTAAATTTTTTAAATTAAAATTTCATCACAATTCAAGTTTTGAACAAAAATTGAATTTTAAAAATTCATTAAATTTATTTGCTTTTATTATTTTTTCAAGAATTACTTTTTAACACACAAAAAGCAATATAATAATATAATTCTATATGTATCAAATATAAATATATAAAATTATATGTTATACATAGTGGTTATATTTTTTGTAATTATACATTTATATAATATGAATTTTAATAAAAAAAACAAGCTTTAACTATATTTTTTAATTCTTACTCAGAACTGATTACTTTTGTTTTTTTTCTCAAAGATCTAGCTACTACATATAATGTCAATATATATTTGTATGTTTTAGGTTATCTGTTGTTTTTTTTTTACATTAAATACTTTTAAAGCTGTCAAGTCTTTTAGAGGTAAATTCTAGTTACTTAGGTGTAATAAAATTTGTATCTCTATACTTGTTTGGGATCGACAACTTCAAATTGTAAATCAAATTGTTGATCGAATCCGATTAAACAATCGGAAATTAAATAGAGGGTTAGCAGCAAACGTCCTCGCCGTGGTGGGCATTGGAAAGTTATGCGATTTGATGATTTCAGGCCACGCATATTGATACGTTTCATGGCCAGCAGCTCGTCATTGCCCTGGGAGCCAAGTGTCAAAAACCATGCCTCCTTTTTACCCTTGGGATATTTGGGACAATGTATTTGTGTGTTGAATTGGCGTTTAACATTCAAACGCTCCATATCGATGCACAGAACATAATCCTAACAAGATAAAAAAAAAGGTTATGATTACAGATATTCCTTCATAAATCCATTTTGCCTTACCTCATTCGGATGTATTTCGGTCCAGACATTCGATTTAGGATCTGTACTGACAGGTCGTAGAGACTCTTCTTCTTCGTAATTGCGACCTTGCACAAATATGTTAACTGCAATTTCTGGCAAATCTTGTACAACCTTATAGATTTGTTCAATTTCTGGCTCTTCGAACATATCTCGTAATGGACCGGCCAATTTTTCATAATCATTTCGACAAATATCTTTCAATACCGGCAGTGTTAGATATTCATAATTGTGTGCTATATTATAGAACAGATGGACATTGGAATTGTTGACGTGCGGCAGTGTCAGGAATTCACTTTCATCGAACCATCGTGCCTGTATTACGCTTTGCATTATTTGTTGTATTCTCAAAGTGGGCGAAAGCCAGCCACGTTCCGCTGTGTAATCGACCATGGCCTAGAGAAAAGGGAAGGGAAAAGAAACGAAGAAATAGATAAATACGAACTTTTCTCAAAAACAATTGTTATCGATAATTTTTTCGAAAGTTTTTCTTCAACAAAATGTTATCGACAAAATTTCTTCATGAAAAAATTGCTTTCGATAAGTTTTTTAATACAAATATTGTTATCGACAACTTTTCTCCACAGAGAAGTTGTTATCGACAATTTTTTCCCCAGAAAAGTTGTTATCGACAAATTTTCTCCACAGAAAAGTTGTTATCGATTACTTTTCTCAACAGAAAAGTTGTTATCGATTACTTTTCTCAACAGAAAAGTTGTTATCGATTACTTTTCTCAACAGAAAAGTTATTATCGAATACTTTTCTCTACAGAAAAGTTGTTATCGAAATTTTTCTACGAAAACTTTCTCCGTAAAATGGTTGTTAACGACAAATTTTCTCTACAGAGAAGGTATTATCGGCAGCTTTTCTCGGTATAAAATTTGTTATCGAGTTTTTCTCTACAGAAAAGTTGTTATCGACAGCGTTTCTCTATAGGAAAATTGTTATCGACAAGTGTTCATTATAGAAAATTTATTATCGACAAATTTCCATCACATAAAATTGTTATCGGCAAATTTTTTGTAAAGAAAATTTGTTATCGACAACATTTTGTAATAAAAAAGTAGTTATCGATAACTTTTCGTTATAGAAAAATTGTTATCGATAACTTTCATGTATGAAACATTTGTTATCGACGACTTTTATCCATAGAAAATTTGTTATCGACAGTTTTAACAGCTTTTCTAAAAAAACGTATTTTCAACAAATTTCGACAAACAAATATCGCCGAATTTTATCTACAGAAAAAAGATGTTATTGAAAGCTTTTTTTCTCTAGAAATTTGGTTATCGACTGTTTTTTCTCCAAATACAAGTTGTTATCGAAAACTTTTCTCTACAGAAAAGTTATACAAGTTGTTATCGATTACTATTTATTTAGAAATTTGATATTTCAGCTTACCTGCATAACACGTGTTGCATTATCCAATGCCGATTTTGTATCTGTTAGATAATCAGAATTCGGCAATCCTAATCTTGAAAAATGAGCCTGTAGCAAGAGGAACGTTTTGGTATAGGGAGAATCCCATGTTGGCGAACGAGGACGATAACGCACCACATCTGCCATTTCTCTGTTAAAATAAATTTCAAAAATTAATACCCGATACACTTTTAAATTGATTTACCACCACCTCCCTCCCTTCATCTGACTTACTCATTATATTTATCTTCATTGTGACGTACAGGCTGTTGATCAAATTCATAGGAATCGGCAATGGCCAGCAAAATATCCGATGTTGACATTTGTGGTTCCAAATCATCCAAGAAATGTTTCATTGTGCGATATGACAAATAGTAGAACGAAGCAATGCGACCCAAAAACGTCGGCAGCAATAAATGTTCATTTTGTACGACACAAGCGGCTGCTTCCAATTCATAGATGACCTTTTCCACCAACGATGAGAGGAATGTGTTAACCTGACTTGGTTCAAGGCCTTCCAAATTATAATAGGTAGGATTTCTTAGTAATCTCCTGAAGAAGAATGTCCAGGTCAAATAATCCAAGGCCGCCTGTTTTGTTTGTACAGTACCCGCAACAATTTCAGCATTTATATGCTCGGGCAATACCTCCAATAGACTTGACTCCACGGGGAATGGATCATAGAGGAACTTTTTGTAAAAGTTTTTCTTAACGTCATGTACCAGCACCACAGCCACACCTTCATTATCGAATTGTGGACGACCGGCACGACCCATCATTTGTAGGACATCTGTTATGGGCATATCAACGTATTTCTTAACCTTGCCATCAAAATATTCCGTACCCTTTACGACCACCAAATGAGCGGGTAAATTAACACCCCATGCCAATGTTGCGGTGGCAATGAGCACTTGAATTTTACGATTTAGGAAGAGTTCTTCAACCGTTTTACGATCTTGTTCCTGTAGACCGGCATGATGCAGGCCAATACCAAAGGCCAGACAGAATTTCAAATTGGAATCTTTAATGTCCTGTAGAATTTGTTGCATTTCGTACTCTTCCATGTTGAGGAACTGTTTGGGATTTTCATCGCCGGCCACAAATGTTATTAAATCTAAGGCAGTTAGGCGGGTTTGTCGACGTGACGAGACGAAAACAATGGCCGGATCTGTGGGGGAATATGTGCGTATAGCCTGGAATGTTGGACGATTCATGGTGGCCATACGTGGACAATAGTGTTTTCCTGGAACGATAGAAATAAAAAATAATTAAAAATGTAACAAAAAGAATAATGGGTTTGGAAAATATGGAGGGGATAAAAAAATAATATTTTCATATCTACCAAATTTTTTGGTAAGACACATATCGACAACTATTTTTTATAGTGAAATGGTTATCGTTAACCTTTCGTTATATAAAAACATTTTTTTGTTATAGAAAGCTTGTTATCGTTACAGAAAGGTTGTGGTTACAGAAAATTTGTTATCTTCAAATTTTTATATAAAAATTGTTATCGATAAGTTATCGTTATATGAAAGTTGTTATTGGCAGCATTTCTTATTAGAAAAGTTGTTACCATACTGGTTTTGGTTATAGAAAATTTGATAATGATAATTTTTGCTATGGAAAAATTGCTATCGATATTTTTTGATATAGAAAAATTTTTTGTCGGCCCGTTTTGTTATAGAAAAATTGTTATCGACTATTTTTCTTTAAAGGAGAATTGTTATCGACTAATGTTTGACAACATTTCTTGGTAGAAATATTGTTATCGATATGTTACGGTTATAAAGATGTAGTTATCGACAACTTTTTGCTATAAAAAAGTAATCGATAAATTTTCTTAATGGAGTCATTGTTATCGACAACTTATGTGTTGTTATCGAATACTTTTTCTTACAAAAATATTGTTATCGATAACTTTTCGTTGTATATAAATTGTTTTACACAACATTTCTTTATAGACAATCATTTATTGAAAACTTATAAACTTGTCGTTGTTGGAAAGTAGTTATCGACAAAATTTCATTGCAGAAAATTTATTATCGACATCTTTTCTTGATGGAAAATTTCTTATCGATGACTTTTATTAATGGAAAAGTTATTATCGATGACTTTTCTTAATGGAAAAGTTGCTATCGATAAAAAAAGGCATAAAAACAAAACTCAATAACTTTTCTTAATGAAAAAAAATTGTTATCGATAGATTATCGTGATAGAACAGTTAACTTCGACAGTTGTTATCATTGTTATCGATAACTTTACGTTATAGAAAATTACTCTTCGTTATAAGAGAAAATTGTTATCGATAACCTGTTGTCATTGACAACTTTCTGTTACCGATAACTTTTCATTATAGAAAAGTTATTATCGATAACTTTTCGTTATAGAAAAGTTATTATCGATAACTTTTCGTTATAGAAAAGTTATTATCGATAACTTTTCGTTATAGAAAAGTTATTACCGATAACTTTTCGTTATAGAAAAGTTATTATCGATAACTTTTCGTTATAGAAAAGTTATTATCGATAACTTTTCGTTATAGAAAAGTTATTATCGATAAATTTTCGTTATAGAAAAGTTATTATCGATAACTTTTCGTTATAGAAAAGTTATTATCGATAACTTTTCGTTATTATGGATAACTTTTCGTTATAGAGAAGTTATTATCGATAACTTTTCCTAATAGAAAAGTTATTATGGATAACATTTCGTTATAGAAAAGTTGTTATCGATAACTTTTCTTATTGAAAAGTTGTTATCGATAACTTTTCTTTTTAGAAAAGTTATTATCGATAACTTTTCTTTATAGAAAAGTTATTATCTATAACTTTTCGTTATAGAAATGCTGTTATCGATAAAATTTCGTTATAGAAATGTTATCGATAACTATTCGTTTTAGAATATCTGTCATCGACACATTTTCGTTATATAAACAATGTTATCGACAACTTATATAATTACAGAAACCTTTTTACCTTTGTAGAAAACTTTTTATCAATAACTTTTCGCTACAGAAAATTTATTATTGACAATATTTATTAATGAAAATTTTGTTATGGACAACTTTTCCTCACATAAAAATTGTTATCGATAACTTTTCGTTATAGAAACAATGTTATCGGCAAATTATGATTATAAAAATATTTTTATCGACAACTTTTTGTCACAAAAATTGTTATCGAAAACTTTTATCTATAGAAATTCTTTTATGGATTTTCTGGTACTGAAAACTAATTGTCAATAAAATTTCCGCATAGAAAATTAATTAGCCTGGATTGTAATGCAACTTTTTTTAAGCAACTATGCTGTTGCTCTCTTCGATTCTCCTTTGAATTTCTTCCCCTTTGTCACTTTTTATACCTCTCACTTCTAAGAACTCAGCATAGTTGCTTACAAAAGTTGCATGTATAAACCCAGACTTATTAAAACATTTTTCCCTCCGAAAATTTCTCATTCTAACATCGAAAACTTCATAGAGTGTTCAGAAGTTCAAATGATCAACCGATCATAATAATCTTTATTCTTGCAGAACCAAATTCCATACTCTCAAAACAAGTTTTTGAGGTTTTTGCAAAAAAACAAAAAAAAATCCCCGCAGCAAAACCACAATTTTGCGCTGATAAGTTTGGTAAGCGTATAACTAAAGGAAGGAAACATAATCGACAAATTTGTTAACCCTTTCGTTGCGTAAATCTCTAACATACATATGGAGAAGTGAAATTATATTCGTTTTTATTGCCAGTAGTTTAGGGGTTAAAAATAAATAATCATATTTCCTAAATAGGATAATGATTTTGTTTTTTAGTATATCAAATCAGTTTCTTTAAAGCTTGCATAGCAAGTGGTTGCAAATTTGGTTCCAATAGCACGAAAATGTTGAATAAAATATTATTATTTTATGTGATTTTTATTGTGAAATGCATTTTTGCAATGCGTTGTCAAGATGCTGCTGCTGGGAATGTGAGTTTAAAATTGATTTTAATAATTCAAAATAAGATTTTTTAATACCTATTTAGGGTCTCTACAATTCGGAGGATACAAATATAATACGACAACTCGTCAGTGATGTCAGTGAAATTAAGACTACAATAGATAACTTAAAGTTGAGGTAAGTAGGAAAAAATGCTTTACAAATATTTTTTAAATCTACGCCTACGTTGTTGAAAAAAATCTTAAAAATCATAACCGAGAGCTCTGATAGTCCTTGAAAAATTAGTATTAAAAAAACTACTAAGGACATAAAAAATAACTATAAATAAAACTCAGAACGGCTTTAAAAATATTCTTAAGAAATCTAGCTTTAGAATTCGGGAAGGCCTTAAAATATTCTTTAAAAAATCTACACCTACAGCAATGGAAAGGACTTAAAAAATATCTACGCATAAAACCCAGAATGGCTTTAAAAATATTCTTTAAAAAATCTGCGCCTAGAGCTTGGGAAGACCTTAAAATATTCTTTAGAAAATCTACGCCTGAAAGGCCTTAAAAATATTATTTTAGAAATCTACTCCCAAAGGTCTTCCCTTAACATTTTCTTTAAAAAATCCAAGCTTGGAGCTCAGAATATTCTTAAAAAAATCTACAAAGCGCCCAGAAAGACATTAAAATGTTTTTCAAAAAATCTAGAGCCCAGAAAGGCCTTAAAATATTCAATAAAAATCAAAGCCTAAAGATCGTCAAGTGAAAAAGCGTTAAGTTCGGCCGGGTCGAACTTTGGATACCTCCACCATAGGGAAAATATCAAAAAGTGGACCTATACCTATACAAACCGATTATGCAAACCATAATACAAATTTCATAAATATTTAATGCATAATTATACCCTGAGCCTTATGACTGATGAGGCTGTATACACTTTGGTCCAAAGAAACCTCCATGTTTCTTTGGACCAAATTTGTTTCAGAAAATTTTGATTTTATACAAACTTTGCCCATCTTATTATTTATTTCAAACTTCAAGTTCGAAGATGGGGAATATCGGTCCACTCCTTCTAGTACCTCTCACACAGGGGCTAGGCCTAAATACGGGTTATAGTTCATATATAGTTCATTATCGAACCTTACGTTCTAGTTTTTATCTCGATATCATCCGCAGGTGATATCATTACAACAGAATTTTAGAACCAAACCCAAAACGCGGAACAAATAAGATAACTATTTTAATATAAAAAGAGGGTTATATGGGGACTACCCCAAAAAGGGGGCAAATATTAATAATTTCTGGTGAAAAGATTTGTTACCATATACGACTCCAAAATACCAAATTTCAGTGAATTCGATTGAAAAATGCGCTGAAGAACCGCAAAATACCGAAAATTGTGGGTACCCTTATATGGGGGCTATCCAAAAAATGGACCTATATTTATAATTTTTTGTGGAGAGATTTGGTACCTATTAGAACACAAAACACTAAATAACAGCCAATTCGGTGGAAAAATACGATGAAAACCCCCAAAATTAGGAGGTACCGTTATATGGGGGCTACAAGAAAAAGTGGACATATATTCATAATTTTTTGTGGAGACATTAAGTACCCAATAGGAACCCAAATTTCAGCGAATTCGGTTGAAAAATGCGCTCAAGATCCGCAAAATACCTAAAGTATGGGGTACCGTTATATGGGAGCTATGCCTAAATGTGGACCGGTATATCCGATCTTCGAACTTGACCTGTCTGCAGACAAAAGACAAAATTTCAGCTCCCTATCTCAATTCCTTCGGAAGATAGCGTGATTACAACAGATGGACGGACAGACAGACGGACATGGTTAGATCGTCTTAGAATTTTACCCTGATCAAGAATATATATACTTTATAGGGTCGGAAATAAATATTTCGAAGCGTTACAAACGGAATGACAAAATTAATATACTCTCCATACTATGGTGGAGGGTATAAGAAGGCCTTAAAAATTGTCTTTAAAATATCTACGAGTTTTTAAAGTTCTTAAAAAATATTATTGAATAAGCCCATGTAAATTAATATTTTATTAAAAAATCCATGACAAGTGTGTTGATTTTTGTCTACTAATATTATTTTCTTCTACTTTCAGCAAACAAGTCAAGAATAGTGGTAAGCTTTTTTATTTTCTGCAAAGAAAATATCTAAGTCGGGTTATTTTTGAAAATGTTTTTATTTTTATTTTCTTATATAGATTTACCAATTTTTGATATACGGGTTGATACCTTGCCATATAAATGGTAAGGAAAACAAGAAAAAATTGAAACAAAGTATACTAAAAAATATTCCCTTTTCTCCTCAGTCAAGCCCATGGCCCATTCACCAACTGTGCCGAAATAACCGCCTGTACCGGACGCAGTGGTTATTATAATATTCGCATACCACAATTTAGCAACGAAAGTTTCCTCGTCGAATGTGATGCCTGGCAGGATGGTGGTGACTGGACTGTTATACAACGTCGACAAGATGGCTCAATTGATTTCTTTCGTACATGGTCAGAATATAAGGTTGGATTTGGTGATATCGATGGTGAATTCTTTATCGGTTTAGATAAGCTACATGCCCTAACAAATTATCAGGGTCCACAAGAACTACTGATTATTATGACAAATGGTACAAATGAGGCACAGGCTTATGCAAAATACGATGCCTTTCAAATTGGCAACGAAGTGGAAAAATATAAATTAAAACGTACCGGGCGTTATAGCGGTACGGCAGGAGATTCTTTAAAAGGTCATATTGGTTTGAAATTTACGACGAAGGATCAAGATAATGATAATTATGGTAGTAATTGTGCCGAGGCATATATGGGTGGTTGGTGGTATGGTGCATGTCATGTTAGGTAAGGTCAATTTCCAATATTTTTTTGAATGGAAATAAAAACGAATTACTTTACTTTTCTAGCAATCTCAATGGCCACTATGGAGATGCCCAACATGGTCGTGGTATTAATTGGCTTACCTTATCGGGACATTATAGCTCTTTGACATATTCCAAAATGATGATACGTCGCAGAAGGAATTAACATAAACATGTTTAAAAAATATTCAAAAATAAATAATAAAGAGTCATGAAATATTATTTTTAAAATTATTGACGCCTTAAAAATGGACAGGACTCGCTTAAAATACTCTTCAAAATTTTACGCCTTCGTGGCTTATAAATCTTATAGTCATATGTGATCAAGAGAAATGTGGTATTCGGACTTTGGAATTGTGAAATAAATACATAAAAAAGAAATTAAAATCTTAGATTCACTTACCAGAAAATCCATTTATGTGAACCTGCAACGGTACCGGTCGCACCGATGGCTTAAAGTTATACAATCCCATTTGTTTGATGCCCAACCAATTGGCCAAATCCTGGGCATTTGCCAATGCTGTCGACAATCCAACAATGCGAATATTCCGCCCCGTATGTGATGTTATGAAATTTGTACGCGAAACAATCACCTCAATAACGGGACCACGATCTTCACCCAGCAAGTGAATTTCATCGATAACAATTAGCACCACATCCTGGACATATTCTCGTGTCTGCCACGAACGACTTATACCATCCCATTTCTCGGGAGTTGTCACAATAACTTGCGACTCTCGTATCGCTTGAATATCCGGTGTTGTATCACCGGTAAGTTCAACCACCTTCTTACGCAGAGGTCCAGCCTCAAAACGTTTCTTCCAATCGCTGATACGTTCCTTAACTAAAGCTTTTAGCGGAGCGATATATACTACTTTCGCCTTGGGTGACATATTGAATGCCCGAAACATTGCAATTTCGGCAACAATTGTTTTACCCGACCCCGTGGGGGCACCCAACAGAACATTGTTATTCGTATGATAGAGACAATGGAATATTTGTGTTTGTATTGGATTGAAATGTGAGAAATTGTAAAGGGATTCATAGAGGGGATTTTGCAGGCAGCTAACAGGCAGTGGATTTAAAGGCAAGAGTTCCGTTAATGGGGGATGATGTTCGGGCAGAACCAAATGTTTGAAAGTCATTGCTGTCCAGGCGTTACTGCCCAGCCAGGTATCACTGGCAACGCGTATATAATATTGTGGTGGCAGTGGTTCTTTCAATGGTATCGTCATGACGAGCTGTTGCGGTTTACCGCTGAAGACAAATTTGCGGGTGGCCTAGAAGAAAGAGAGAGGGAAAACATAAGAGAAACAATTAAGTTATAAGTTAAAATAAATATTCCTTAAAAATCTACACTTATAGCTCTGATATTCCTTCAGAAAATATTCTATAAATCCCACTATTATAGTTTTGATTGTCCTTCAGAAAATATTCTTTAAAAATCCACACTTATATCTCTGATAGTCCTTCAGAAAATATTCTTTGAAAATCCCGCTCATAACTCTGATAGCCTTTAAGAAAATACTTTCTATTTCATAGCTCTGATAATCCTTCAGAAAATATTTTCTAAAAATCCCCGCTTATAGCACTAATATTCCTTTAAAATATATACTTTAAAAATCTATGCTCAAAGCTCTGATAATCCTTCTAAAATATTTTTTCAACATATACACACACCTATAGCTCTGATAGTCTTCTCGAAAATATTCTTCAAAAACCTACGCGTAAGGCTCTTATAATCTTTCAGAAAATATTCTTTAAAAATAAACCCTTCTACCTCTGATAGTACTTCAGAAAATATTCCAATATTGACTAACTCACCTGAAACAATTCCGAATGATAGATGAAATTCGTTTCCGGATCCTCAATCCATAACCAAAAACTTTCACTAACTTTGCCATGTACACGATCATTCCAATTGAAATTTGCCCATATATCGATTTTAATACGCAAGACTGTACGTGTTATCGGTTGCAGGGTGGCCTCAATGTCAAGCATTGGCAACTCCCGGGCTGCCCGTAATACCTGCTCCGCATTTCTGGGATTACGTAAAATCTCTTTCAATTCGTTTTGTTCCATTTCCCGCAGGGTATACAAGCTAATACCACGACTTTCCAATTTATCGATAGTCTCAGCATTCAGATTGCCAAATTGACGCATTGGCGTTTCAAAGTCCCATTGTTGCTTCTCGAACATTTTACAAATTTGCAGCATACGACCGGATAAAATGGCGTTATTATTACGCAGAACAATTGAGAACAAGGCACGACAAATACGCACGATATTCTGTACAATATACGACATATCCGAGACGAGGGAGAACGATTTGACATAGCCATGCGAGAGATACGTCTGCATTAGAATATTAACTTTGCCGCAAACATTTTCACTGCCACCGAACGCCTTGACCTTGCAGTAGTTGTGGCGCAATTCATCCAATTCTTCCATTTCATCATCGCGCACCTTGAGCTGTTGAAATTCTTGAGCCTGTGAAATCATGGCAAAGATTTCGGCCTCCGACATAAATGGTTTTAGGAGGTCATTAAATATTTCTACCGTATCGTATTTAATGTAGAAATGTGATGCCGTACGACCCAAATCGGTAACATTGAAGTCCATAGTTCGCTGATTGAAACGAATCATACGGGCTTTATCCAAACTCATGGCAGCACCAATAATAAGAGCTCTTCGCTTCTCCTCCAGTAGGGGATCATTTAAAACTTCAGCATATTCAATGCCATAGACGTGGGGATTGATGCGCATACGAACAAAGAGATAAGTATAACTTAACCATTCCACAGCCTCCTCAACATTGGAAATGGTGCCCAGGGTTATTTCGGCATTTAGGTTATCGGCCAAAAATTGTACAAAATTCGATTCAATGGGGAATTGATTGGTCAACAGGGAAAGATAATGATTGAGTTTGTCATAGGTGGTTATGATGGTACCCAGACCACTTTTGTCAAATTGTGGACGGCCAGCACGACCAAAAATCTGCAGTACATCCAAGATGCCCAAGTCCACAAATGAGCCATGTTTGGAGTCATAGATATCGGTACCTAGACAAGACGAAACGAAACGAAAAGAAAGAAAATAAATATTGGAATTCAAAAGAGTCTCATTTTTAAAACTTACCCTTAATGATAACAGCATGGGCGGGTAAATTTACACCCCAAGCCAAGGTGGCGGTA